TAGTCAGTAGTATATTTTTAGTATTAGCTGTTTATCATGCTCTAGTCAGTAAAGCTTTTATGTCAGTTGTACATTTTCAGTATTAGCTGTTTACCATATTCTAGTCAGTAGTATATTTTTAGTATTAGCTGTTTATCATGCTCTAGTCAGTAAAGCTTTTATGTCAGTTGTACATTTTCAGTATTAGCTGTTTACCATATTCTAGTCAGTAGTACATTTTTAGTATTAGCTGTTTACCATGTTCTAGTCAGTTGTACATTTTTAGTATTAGCTGTTTACCATGTTCTAGTCAGTAGTACATTTTCAGTATTAGCTGTTTACCATATTCTAGTCAGTAGTATATTTTTAGTATTAGCTGTTTATCATGCTCTAGTCAGTAGTACATTTTTAGTATTAGCTGTTTACCATGTTCTAATCAGTTGTACATTTTTAGTATTAGCTGTTTATCATGCTCTAGTCAGTAGTACATTTTTAGTATTAGCTGTTTACCATATTCTTGAAAGAAACTTACCCATTTAGAGTCGCACCGAAGTATGAACAACAGTCACAGGTGTACACAAAAACCAGATGAGGAAGAAACCACTATACGGTATATATATAAGGAGAGAAGAAAGTATTAGGTGTAGTACTCATGCCCAAATGTAGGAGTTCCCATGAATGGTCGATGAAGAGGAGATGCCAGGGAAAAGGTAAGGGTGTTGAATCTGATGAGAAGATACTTGAAAGAAGATGATAAATGGAAGTAAGCCAATGGGATCAAAAGCCAAACACAATTGGCGATGACAGAAGGAGAAAAATCTGGACTCGAGGAAAACCGCCTAGGAATAAAGAGGCAGGAGCAGGCACCATGGAAAGAAGCCATACGGGCAATAGAACAGCAAAGAGCACAGACCATACAAAAGAGTCGATCTGGATCTGGACGAGGATAAAGATGGGAAATGAAACAAAGGGAATAACATAGTTAAACTAATGAAGGACATACCATGTTAAGCCTAATCGATTGGTATAGAAGAGAAACAATGAAGACGAATTACAAATCATAACATAAATTAGTATTAACTAATCTAAATAAGTGTATGTTATGGAATTCAAATAATTACAGATAATATTAAAAATAAAATTGTAAAATGTCTTATCTTTCTAAAGTCGCCAGACTGTATAGCAAATGGTGGACTACAAAGCACTATGACGAAATAAGGCGGAGTAACGTGAATGAAAGCCATTACAAACGTGAAAAAATAACATAGAATCTCCGTATTGGGAACGGAGACTACATAATGAAAATAAAGCACCAAACACTTGATATCTGGTGGTGGAAAAAGGCTATCAAGATCTCTGTTTGCCCAAACAGGGTTGGCATCTAGAGGAGGAATTGTGGATAGGAACCGAAGAAAGAGGCTGAACTTTTTAACATTTAATCTCTCGGAGGATAAACACCGATAAAAACCCACACCAGGGCGCCCATACCTGCAGCCTACAAGATAATACTAGTCATAGCCGTGACCCTAAAAGTGGTAACATTAGCTTCAGAATGCGACTGGAATAAGCTGGGATAAATGTAAGCAAATTTCAAACTACAGAAAATCTGGAAGTTATAACAAATGAATAACACTTTGTGAGTATAGTAAATATGAATGTGAAACAGTAAAGAACAACAACAACAAAAATTCCAGGTACAAGAACATGGTAAACAGCTAATACTAAAAATGTACTACTGACTAGAACAGGTAAACAGCTAATACTGAAAATGTACTACTGGCTAAAACATGGTAAACAGCTAATACTAAAAATGTACTATTGACTTCTTGCCGGTGACAATGTGAAACCATGGAGGATAGTGCAATTCAACATGGCTGTACATTGCAGATTTCAATTGAATGATGCCTGGTCAGGCACTGCTCACTACAACACGAGATCCAATAGTAAATAATGAAGCAAGAGCACCTGGGGTGTTCCACAAGATCGCTTGAAGGTGAATAACCTCACAATGTTTTTGCATCATAAACATGCCTGTTCCAAATTGTACCACCCATGGACTGCATGGGTAAAGCAAAAGGGGATAGCTGTCCATCCCTGCCATGCCTTGATTGAATAAATTGGTATGGTCTGCTTTTCAAAATAGGGTTTTGTGGTCACCCATTGCAATGTTTCCGGTGGTGATGCTCCTCCAGACTCTCCACTGTGTATTCATCCTCCTTTCTTCTAGTGGAGTGTGCGAGTCCTTACCACTTTCCAGTTCCAAGCTGTTGGGGTGTTTGACCACGAAGGCACCATCCTGAATGGGTTCCACCAAAAGATGGCCATAACTATTCAGTCAAGAGTAGGGCAGTGGTGTTCTGCTGAGGTAGATGAGACGTGGCCTCCAGAGGAGTTGAAACATCACTTTGATGGATGACGTGGCCTCCTGATACTATTTACACACCCACTGGAGTTGAGCCATCAAAAATGCAGTTCACCCCTTTGATTGGGAGCCCTCATCCTACCACCTTGTGGATGTCGGTACCCTGTGACCTGGTGCTTGGTGTAGAGTAACCAATCAACATAAGTCCTCACACAAGTTTTGGGTTGTCTATCTTCCTCCCTTGATTTCCTCTGTCTGTGCTGTGAGTCACAGCAGTGGTATGTGGGATTGTTCCGGTTCTATCCTTGCTATCCCTTGTACTCACTTCTTACGGGGTTGTTATATTGCCATTTTGGAAGTCCCGGCCAGTTTTATGGTTGGGGGAGTTGATTACAAGCGATAGACATCCTTTTGATATCATATGTCAAGTTCCCAGATCATTACCTCAGAGTTAATCCTTGTGTCATACCCGGGAATTGGAGTGGTTCTCAATTCCCCGGTTCTTGGGTTTGAGATGAAGATGGTATAATCCTCATCCTACCTTTGTGTGGATGTCAGTACCCCACAAAGAGATTTTGAATGTAGTTGTTTTACTGAGTACGGTCTGCTACGCCCTAGCCACTCTACATCCAAGGGCACATCCTTGTTTATCCACTTTTCTCATTGTGGGTTTGAGTTACAATATCTTTATTTGGTTAGGATCACTTTCCTACCACATTCTGTTCCACTCAGATATACTCCTCTCATTTTCTGCCCTTATATCTTACACATTCCACACATGGGTGAAGAGTATACCTGGCTCAGAAGTGGTGCGGTTCACCTCTTCAGATCTGACTCTCTCATCTATGGAGGTATTTTTTGGACGCTTTCGGGAGATACGTCTGTTCTTTCCTCACACCAGTCCTTCCTCCTAATCAATGTGAGAAGAGAGAAGTACAGTATTGGAAGTTATAATTTTCCTATATTGAAAATGTATTTCTGATAGGTACTATAATACAGATAAACTACATTAATTTTCAGACATTCTTTTTGATATTAGCTTTAATATTTTGTATTCTAAGTTGGATATTAGAATTTGAGACCACATTGTTACAAAGATTTAAACAAAGGCTTGTATCATTAGAGTACAAAAGCTTGAGAAAAACAAGATTTCTGGTGGAAGTGCAAATTTCTTGTTATGAATATTTTTTACTTATTGTTATAAAAGTAATTAAAATATAAATATTAGAAACTTGTTAGGTTAGATAAGGAAATTTGAATAATCAAAAGAATTATAAAGCACATGCTCAGTGCAAGCATGACTGTGTAATTTGGCAAGCATTTGTTGGTAGCTCTCTCTCTTATAAATAGCTAACTGCATACTCTGAGTGCAATAAAACTAAATGAAAAACCATGTAATTTTGGATGTAAAAATTAATAGTGTGTGGTTGTCTGTTACAATATTTAGTCGTCATAGAAAGAAAAAAGGGTAATTTAGATTTATTTCATATTATTTTGATATATGGTGGTTACAAAGTCAGAAAAATTAACCAAGACAAATACAGTTAGTTTTGAGTAGAGAAAATAACAGATGAAATACAAAATTTTACCAAGAAACATAACTTGATATTAATTTTGGAGGCTCTAGAGGTTTTACAAATGAAATGTGAAACTGTAAAATGAAGTATGAAATGGCAAACAGTTGTAGTTCTGATACATTCCACCATGAATTTACATCAGTTATAATTGTTACATGGCTTGCTTATTTGCATATTAAGAATTGTTTTATTACAACATACTCAACCATTAGTAGTTATTCACCTTATTATGGATATGTAACATCCAGATTACTTATTGTTTATTGAAAACATTCTTACACGTGTGTGTGTATTTTTACTAGTAAGAATGTAATCTGTATTCTATAGGTCAATCATTTATTTCTAGGCAATGAATAGGTTGTACAAAATGCATGAAGAGGAGACACTTATGGAGCTCAAAGGCTCACTACATGGATGGTTGTGCCAGCATGGAATAGCTTCCTTAGACAGGTTTATAGAGCTGGAAAAGAACAATTTTAAAAACCCATTACAATTTTTTGAAAAGAACACAAGTAAGAAATTCAGGGCATTCATTGATCCAGAAAACAAGTTTTCTCATGTTGACAAATTATCCCAGGTATGGTATATTTTCTACATTCTCTGCTTAACTCCTCAGCTCCTCTTAAGAATACTTTATAATAATAAAAAGTATGTCTATTATTATTAATTAAACTTTCTACTATGTATATATGTCCAATCTCACAGTGTTGAGGTTTAAAGTTGTTATTCTTTCTATATGAAATGTATTAATTGTTTTACAGTATTTATTATTTTGTTGTTAAAATGTCTTAACACTCACCTTTTTCACTGTTTAGTTTATAGCAGTTTGTATATTCCTATTAAATGTTTTTGTCATGTCTGCTTTGCAGTGGTAATAATAAGATGGTAATTGTTGTTTTCAGATAAATTGTTTACAGCAACTTGAAAATGCCACTTCACATGCATTCCTGAAACCATTACTGGAGCAAGACAAGCTACGTTTTCATGCACTTTGGTTTGATATAAACACGGGTGATGTGCACTGCTTTAGCAATAAAAAGGAGCAGTTTGTAGAAGTCAATGACCACAGTGTGGAAGAATTGCTGGTGGAGAGTGACCAAAATATTTTTTCTGGTCCAAATAAATAAATTAATTCATTACCTTAGTATTTCTGAGTTTGAGACATGGAATTTAAATATTTTACATTTTTTATACTATCAGTTAAAATGTATGTATCATTTATTTACTTATGAACAAAGAGATTTGGAAAAGGTTTCTTTAGAAAGATATAAAATTAAAACATCATAACCTCCCAAGTGTAATTTTGAGAATGTTGTGGTTTTGATGGAGTTTTTATAACTTAAGAGATAAATGACAATTATCTTTACCAATCTTTCTATAATTTGGTCAGTGTCACTGTCCAGTTGACAATGCAAACATATTGTGAACTTATGATACTACACATGACATTACAACAAATTCTTGTTGTACGTCTTGATCATGTATCACTATCATATAACATGACATCTTAAACCATTGTTTAACACTTGATCTTGTGACACTATCATATAACATGACAACAATTGACCATTGTTTAACACTTGATCTTGTGACACTATGCATAAAGAACATGACAAGAATTCAAACAAATGTGTAACACTTTATAATAGGTTGTAACATTATGATACATTGTTTGATACTGGGATAAAGAAAAAATACATTATCACACACCTCTCAATACAATGACTGTACAGTTGTAGGTGGTGTATCTCCATTAGAACATACTACACTTAAAAAAATAATGTAAACCTTATAATACATTTTTATGTGTGATAAAAAAAATAATTTGGTCTGCTTTATAGGAATTCCTATTTAGGTGGCTTTTCCTCAGCTTTAGCAATAACATTGTGATATTAATATATATAGTCTAAAATGTTAACCATAGAGAACAGTTGTATCAATCTTGGACTCTTACTGATTAGTTACAGTGATTTTAATCTGTAATATTAACATAGAGAACAGCTGTATCAAGCTTGGGCTCTTATTGATTAGTTACAGTGATTTTAGTCTGTAATATTAACATGGAGAACAGGTGTATCAATCTTGGACTGTTACTGATTACTTACAGTGATTTTAGTCTGTAATATTAACATAGAGAACAGGTGTATCAATCTTGAACTGTTATTGATTACTTACAATGATGTTATTCTATAATGTTAACATAGAGAACAGCTGTATCAATCTTGGACTGTTACTGTTTAATTATAATGATATTAATGTGTGTAATATTAACATAGAGAAAAGCTGTATCAATCTTGGACTGTTATTGATTACTTATAGTGATGTTAGGGTATAATATTAACATAGAGAACAGCTGTATCAATCTTGGACTGTTACTGTATAATTATAGTGATGTTATTCTACAATGTTAACATAGAGAACAGCTGTATCAATCTTGGACTGTTACTGTTTAATTATAGTGATGTTATTCTATAATGTTAACATAGAGAACAGCTGTATCAATCTTGGACTGTTACTGTTTAATTATAGTGATGTTATTCTATAATGTTAACATAGAGAACAGCTGTATCAATCTTGGACTGTTACTGATTACTTACAGTGATGTTAGTCTGTAATATTAATATTGAGAACAGCTGTATCAATCTTGGACTGTTACTGATTACTTATAGTGATGTTATTCTATAATGTTAACATAGAGAACAGCTGTATCAATCTTGAACTGTAACTGATTACTTATAGTGATGTTATTCTATAATATTAACATAGAGAACAGCTGTATCAATCTTGGACTGTTACTGATTACTTATAGTGATGTTATTCTATAATGTTAACATAGAGAACAGCTGTATCAATCTTGGACTGTTACTGATTACTTATAGTGATGTTAATCTGTAATATTAACTATAGAGAACAGCTGTATCAATCTTGGACTGTTACTGATTACTTACATGATGTTATTCTATAATATTAACATAGAGAACAGCTGTATCAATCTTGGACTGTTACTGATTACTTATAGTGATGTTATTCTATAATGTTAACATAGAGAACAGCTGTATCAATCTTGGACTGTTACTGATTACTTAGTAGTGATGTTAGTCTGTAATATTAACCT